AAGCGAGGTACAAAAAGCTTTTTGGAAATGTACTGATCTTCATCAAGAAACTTTAAGTCAGAGTAAATGAGACTGAGTTTTTTACCTGTTAATTGATTTAAAATTTAAAAATGTCTAAGTGTAAAACGAAAGAGAGGTAGCGAGTACGTGAATTAAAAATTATTTTTTGATTTACACCGAACTGTTAAAATTGTTTTTAGGACAATGAGGATGACGATGACAAAACTGAAAAGAATCTTAAAGAAACTCATGAGCTATCGATAAAGCCAAGTTTTCTTGCAAAAATAAACCATGGAACATCGTTTCTGTACCGATTAAAATAAGTTAAATCAACTCCTACAATAGGCTGAAAGCGTAAAATGAATAATTAGCTTAAATAAATTTAGAATTTAACGCAGTGGAAAGAAATAACTATTGGCCGAAAAAATTGCCCAAACTTTGACCGTTCACCACAAAATGCATCACTCCACTGAGATCCTCAGGTAAAAAAACTCAGGCGGTCTATGGAAAGTGCACTTGACTCATAAAACTGAACAAAAATGAGATATGTTTACAAACTTTTTATACGCACTTCTTTTCAAATGATGGATATTAAGAGTTGCTACAGGAATAGATGGATCCCTCGCAACCTCGTACTACAAGTATAAGGGAATTGGTTTGTTCATCTTCATTTAAGTCACTAATTACCAATAGGGTCCCATTAGCTATCAGTATCAAACATTCTGTCACAAGTACTGCAACTCTTTTGCTGCACCACTCGCTGTCTAGCCGTGATAGTGAGTTACGTAGGTAGCTTTACGATCTGTAGTGGTTAAAAAAAAAAGAAAAAAAAATTAAAACATAAGCCTGTTTTTCCGTCAAGTAAACACTTGGCGTGAACTTATAGATTCATAGCTAAACAATTTGACTCTCAATATTCACTCTTGATTTCTATGCGTTGCAGTTTAATAGGGAATTTCCCCACACTAACCATCATCCGATAGATCTCGTGCTCATATACTAATGGATTAAGCTCTTATCTCCTAGTTCAACTTTATATATCTCATTTTAGATTACTACAGATAACTTTCAAAGCCCTCGGTGCTCTTGTTTGTTTGTTACCATAACTAAAATGCTTTCAATATAAATGCAAAACGGAATGAGCCATTTTACCCTTAAACCGTCCCATGAGTGACCACGACAGAATTTCTCCTTACACTGTGTCAAGGCGGTAAATTTCTAAGAAACTAAAGTGACGGGAAAAAATCGCATAAGGTCATATAGGCACCCGCAGAGTTTATTTTCAATGATTTGGTTTTATCAACTAAGTTGAGATTGTAAATTTGCCACCGTGAAGAGATAAAAAGCTGACGTCTCGAACGTTAGCCCATCTGAAGAGAGGCAAAATGCAACATTGTAAATTGTGGTTTCCTTAGCGTTGAAATAAGAATCCTCAATGGTTGAGATAATCAAGTTTATTGTTTAATTTTTATCACTTCCTTACTTTATTCATTATGCATGCATTGTCAACTTTCGTGATAGATCTACCATGATCAGCTTTGAATGTTATTTAGTCGATACCAAACAAACCGAATAATTAAAAAAAAAAAGAAAAGAAAATACAAAAACAAATCAGAAAACGAAACAAAAACTCCAAACAATTGTAGTGGATGTGATTTCATTACTTTTCAAAAGAGAAAACGGTTAAACCATAACTGGAGATAAATATATTTTGGGTAAGACCTATGTTTGGATTCAGTCTCCATGATTCCATGATGATTCCTTTTAGCCTGCGGTTCTATTCATATGCAAATAAAGACAGAAGATTTCTGAGTAAATATATGAAATGATTGGAATAAAAGTAATTAAAGATTCAAAAGTCAATGATAAGGATTACTTTAAAAGCAAAGGTTGCTCGTGTTAGAATGGTTCATTTTACCGTAATAGAACTTTAAGTCCATAAGTAATCATGATCAATACATCTAAATCAAGAAAAGATTTCGGAAATCAACGGCAAGATAATTACTGCTAGCTTCAAAATTTAATTCTCTTCGAATTGTGTTGATCTGTTTGGTTTGAAAAACCACCTGCCAGAGATCAAGATAAATAGTGGCAGCAAAAAAGCAAATAGTACTCTAAGGCTGAGCAGTAGAATAAACAGTCGTGCTGCATACATGTAACAAGCAGAAGTGAAGACCTATCGAGCAGGCATACTTAAGGGGATCAAAATAAGTCTTTATTGACACTGTAGTTAGACGCAACAAGTCACCAGGACTGTTGATGCAAGGAGTTCTTTCGCGTGAACTATTTTCGTGCCCTACTTTGGCAATAATATTGGATCATAACTTTCGCCATTGAAGCTTCACCATGTTGAACGACACGACTTTCCATCCCCACCAGAACGTTGATAATTCTTGTACTTCGAATAATTTCAAAACACAAGGCGACCTTGATTCTTTGAGAAGTACAGTAAAACTCACAGTGTCTTTGGTCATTGCTGTTTTATGTCCCGTGGCGGTGGTGGGAAATGCGTTGATTTTAGCGACGATTTGGAAGAAAAGCTTTCAGAGAGCATCGTTTCATATCCTTCTTAGTGGAATGGCATTGACTGATTTTTTCACCGGCCTGATTGCTCAACCTTCTTATGTTTCGTTCAGTTTGATATCGTCATCAAGCGCAACGGTAACACAAGATCAACCAGTGGCAATTGTTGTCTTAAGAGTAGTCACTGTGTTCAGTGCAATCTACTTCGTCACCATCACGCTTCTGACGATAACAGTAATGTCCATTGAGCGATGGTTCCACATGTCGGGAGGATCCTCACTATCATCCCGCTGCCGATTTTTCGTTGTTATCGTGATCGTAATTCTTCCTATTCCTTTAGTTACTCTTTACTTTTTAAATCCACCCTTATTCCCCATTATAGTACCCACAGAGATGTTTTCTTGCTATTTGGTGACATCTTTCGCTTATTTTAAGATCTATCGAATTATTCGAAGTCATCAGAATCAAATTCAAACTAACGGAATACCACGGAACTTTGGCCATTCTGCAATAGACTTAACAAAATACAAAAGATCTGTTGCAACCATTTTATACATTTTATTGCTATTCTCTCTCTGTTTCTTGCCTTATATTGTATCTAACGCGGTAAGTTTTTTGATAAAGGCTGATCCCAGAGAATGGAGTATAACAATTGACGTGACAATGGTGCTAGTATTTCTGTCTTCTTCTCTCAGTCCGGGCTTGTACCTTTGGAGAATGAGGGATATCCGTAATGGCCTCAAAGAACTAATCGTTTGCAGAAGAACCTGACCTTTTCAACATTTCCACGGCTTAAGTCAGGACTTTAAGTCAGGACTTTGGAATCAAAGCCCAAAGTTTGGAATCTATCGGTGTTGAAGGTATCGCAAGAAAATCGTGAAGAAGCCTCTGTTTCTCTTTCAATGCATCGTAAAATTCGAAACTTTTCGATGTTCTATTTATGACGACGATCAGTTTAAAATTTCCCTTTTAGAGGAGCGGGATGCTTTTCCTTTCAAGTTGCTCAGAAAGTTACTGTCTTGCACCGCAAAACCGGAAGAAAGCCTTCATGTCGAGGACCTGAGACGGGCAAGAGACTTAGCCGACGTGATGGCAGTTCGGTACTCTGCTAAAGAGCAGATCTCAGGCACTCCACGCTCATGGTGCGGCATTCAGGAGAAAGTTTCCATACCCTGAGCATTCAACCCAAGCAGAATTACCAGACTAGATCTTTAGATGACACCGAATCGATGTCGCTTCACCACGAAACCGCGTAATGGTGTGTGATGACAGCAACGCAATGAAAACAAATCTTCACCTGTGTTACAAGATCATCATTGCTCACGTGGTCCATGGATTTACTGACGGAAGCCGAGATCATTATTGTGCCTGATTCCTGTATATATGAAGTACCATTTGCAGCCTTAACTGACGAAGGAGGCAAGTATTTATCCCAGATAATCAGGATTCGGATATTTCCATCTCTGACGACCCTAAAAATCATTCAGGACTGTTCTCTAGGGTATCATATCCAGATTGGTGCACTGATAGTAGGCGACCCCGAGGTTGGTAGTGGTTCGCAGTGTGTCAGAAAGGAGGCAGAGATGATCGGAAGACTCCTTTGCGTAAAACCTTTGGTTGGAGACGGCGCTACAAAGCAGGCCGCACTTGAAACGATAGATTCAGTGAGTCCAATTCATCTTGCTGCCCATCCATGGAAGTGCTGAAAACGAGGTATTCGCACTTTCTCCAATGTGTCCAATCCACTCTTTACCACAAGAAGAGTTGAATATTTTGACAATGAACGCATGCGCGAGCTAAACTAGTGGTACTTAGCCAATCTCATAGTGCTCGTGGACAAGTCAGTGCCGAGGGAGTAACTGGAATCGCTCGAGCCGACCAAATTGTGACTACATCTTTTTCGATTGTGATTAGTTAGTCAAGCAAAGACACTTTTACACTTGTATTTCAAAGGTAATTAGTTAGTCAAGGAATAGGGCTAACCATTATACCCATGTGTGAAGTCCAAAGCGTTTTTTTTTCAAGGTTTAAATTTCTAGAGCCCCCTTACCAAGCTTTAGACAGGAAATAACGTGTTGCAATGTGCATGATTAAAATAAATTTCTACGTACATTCATGCAAACGAAGTCTTGCATACTCTCACACAAGCACTTAAATACCTAAGTGTATCTGTGTACATACACACAAACCCTTATACCCTTAGATACAGCTGCACATTCCTGCAATCAATTTGAATTGGAAAGGCCGCCCTATGTAGTAAAACAAAACAAACAGTGACCAGAGAGGTAACAATGAACGATTTAAAACCCGCGAGGATTCGGAGTTATAGCAACGAGTAGTGCTTACTCGGCGCCAAACAAATCGAAAAACTGTGGGGCGGGTGAGGGCTTTTTTTTTTTGCTATTAATAGACGTAGAAAACAGCGAACATCCTCGAAGCTTTACTCTGTTAATAACACCACTTGTCATTATCATACTCCCTGCACCACGGAGAGTTGAAGGAAAACGGACCCTTATTTAATTCCTTTCTTAACTAATAATTAGTTTTTATAACCTGCATGGTTCTCAATGTTTATCATCTTCGACATGTAAAGTCATGGGAAAAGAGTTGATCTCGGCGACAATTTAGAATATGAACTTTATCTTTCGATTAGTGGATCAGCAGTCACTGACTCTATCTCAGGTGTAATCCCTCAGCCTTTTATGCGCCATTTATTTTTAATATTCAACAAACGCAACGGTGAACCAAGATATTGGGGTAGTTTGTGCTCTTTGTGCTCACTGGAATAACCTCTGGGCTTAGGTCTCTCTTTCTTCTCAACGAATCCTAATGAGGACCGTCACAATAACATGGATGGTCATTGAAGGATAGGTTGTAAATGTCACGACGATCCCTGGTGTGAATGCATCGCCAATGTTTCGCTGTTCAGTGTTTCTTTCCTTTTCTTTCTTAACTACCCATGCTTTCCCGCGAACATATTCGTGACGTTGCGTTGAGCTTTATCTCAAAATCGGTCGACGTCATTAATCACAATTTGCATGATCCACGGGCGCCATTCTAGAAGTACTACATAAGCTAACGAGATTCATGAGAAGACACACAGGGCTTGCACTGTAAGTATCCCGGAAAGCTTCATACAATTCCTTATAATTTTATTATAAGGAATTGTATGGAGCTTTTTTAGCGTTAGTCGTGGCGCAGCGGGTGTTGTCATGTATGATCCTTGCGAGAATCACACGTGACAACACTCGACTAATGTTAAGAAAACTCCATACAATTCCTTATAATTTAATTATAAGGAGTTGTATGGAGCTCTGCGAGATACTTACAGTGCAAGCCCTGTGTGTCTTCTCATGAATATCATATAATCTAGTTTTTCTCTCAGTCAAATGAATGTCGTGCTTGGGGTTTTTCTCACGATAACTATGGTTTTGAAATGGGTAAATCAATTACACTGAAACAAGTAGCTCCAAACCGAACTTAACACCCGTGCGTGCTCTGAAACTCTGACATTCAAAATGAACTTTAAAACTACAATTTCCGTTAGCTTATTTCCTGTTATGCATATGTTTATTTTTGTTGAGGGTTTTAATTGCTTTCATAACCAGCAATCCTATGTACCTGAAAGCAAAAAAGAATTGATGAAATTAATTTCAGTTTGAATCAAAAGCCTGAGGAACTCGTGAATGACATTGTATTTACTTTCAGCGCGATATCAAAGAGTAATCAGTAAAAGTTATTGCTCGTATTTGATTGTCGAGAAGGTATATTAATGGTGCGTTTAATTTAGGAGATGTTTGCAATCAAGTTGATCAATATGCACTGTAAACATTGGCAGAAAAACCATCAATCGTGTAAAGTGGAGTAGAAAGTCAAAGGAAACGTACCATATTTACGCTTCATATGTACTTGACAGAACACGATTTGAAAAACCGTTGGACAAATCTTTCAAGCCTTATAGTCAATCTTCACTGACGTCATAGTCAGCTGCTGCAAGTTGGTGGGGTTGTAGAGATAAAAATAAGTTATTCTTCGTGCGCTGATTATTTTTGGGTGGTAGCTTAAGCAAGAAATCTAAATTGGCATCGTCACTTTCACCGAGGCTGCGTCATGTCCAACACTTCTTGCCACCTGTGTACTAATCAAAAGTCAACTTCTCCAAACCCTTCCGAACACTTCAGCGGTCAAAACCTCGACTCTACGGTTAATGCATCAACTTTCTCAACAGCAGTGGTCATTGGCCTTTTATCGCCCCTAGCCATTGTGGGAAATGCACTGATATTGGCCACAATATGGAGGAGGACCTTTCTGAGAACATCGTCTCATTTTATTCTCAGCGGATTGGCAGCCACTGACTTTTTAACAGGACTAATTGCCCAGCCTTTCTACGCTTCGTTCTACTTGATAAATACAACAAACTCGGCAGTGATAAAAGATAATCCACAGGTATTAAACGTCATTAAATTTATCGCTGGATTTAGTGGCTACCTACTTGTCAGCGTCACTGTTGCTACCATGACAGTATTGTCCGTTGAACGATGGTTGCATATGTCTCGGAGATCTTTTACAACATCGTATCGTCGATATTTCGCTGCTATAGTAATATTACTCTTTCCGATTCCGTCATTAGTTGTCTACATTTTAGCCTTATCGAAACCAGCTCTGTTGAATACCTTAATTCGAATGACAATGGCAAATATTTCGTTTTGCTATCTTATCATGTTGCTCGCTTATTTTAAGGTTTATCAAATTATTCGTCGTCACCAGCTTCAAATTCAAGCCAACGATGGAATATCTCAGAACTGCGGTCAACCTGCAATAGACTTGGCGAAGTACAAGAAATCTGTGTCAACCATGCTTTATATCGTTTTGCTATTCTCTATGTGTTTCCTACCTTTCGCTGTGTCTATGGCAGTAGCTCTTACAGCTTCAGTTGAAGAGACACGTAAACCTATACACCTATCATTGGTGCTCGTATATCTGTCTTCGTCACGCAACCCTGGGTTGTACCTTTGGAGAATGAGGGACATTCGTAGTGGTTTTAAACAGCTTTTAGCTAGCTTAAGAACCTGATTTTATCACTCATTAAAACAATTCTTTGGTCTGAGCAGATTTTTTGTAGAGACACAATTGAACAAAGTAGAGTGCATCCAGTAAACCCTTGTAAAAAAAATTCATTAAAATTTGCATGGCTATTCCAGCCCACAAGAAATTCAAATTTCAAATACATCTTTTTTTTTCAGCTTAAAAGCTGTTTTCGTTAAGAGTATATTATGTACTACCGATTCTTAAATTGCAAATAAACTGAAAATCAAATTGATTTTGTTCTATACAATATTCTTTGTGAGGTTTGCGTGTATTTCCTAAAAGATGTTTATAACTTTGTGAGAGATGGTAAATAATTATATTTGGCTTCAGAGTGAGCTATCCCGATAGTTCAGAAATTTAATCACGGGAAAAAAGCGACAAATGTAAGCTTAGCTAAACTTATATTACTTCCTTTACAATGTTAAATGTGTAGTAAGTACAATAGGCTTTGAACAGGTGAACAAAATGATATTTGGAAAAAAAAAATTATGAATGCTTAAAAATGTTATCAGGTAAATTTACTCATAAACAAAACCTAAGAAAAGGAAAGAATAAAGTTTTAATTTCATTTCGTCTTAGTTTACTTTAACAGCTTCAAGGGCTCTTCAAAGATTAGTAATTAATCCAAACATGATATTAATAAGTAATCAGCAAAAACCAACAACTACAATAAAGAAACACATGTCAAAAACTGAGTGTTGTATGTCTGTCGAGATAGGCTTATTTGAAAAAATTCTGAGGCAAATCAATAAAAAAGTGGCTGGAAACAAAAAAATCAATTATTTAAACTGATGAAAGTAATAAAGCAAGCTTCACAGTCAAAGAAACTTTTGGATAAATCATTCAAGCAGCCTAGTTGCAGCGAGTCATCATCTTGTAAATGCGAAAATATTTCTTTCTTGTGCATCTTTTATGGCCATTAGTGATTGAGATTTTCATGTTTACCATCGAAGCTACGCCATTTTAAATAATACTTCTTGCCATACATATATTGAGCATGTCTCGATTATCCATGGTAAAATTGCATCGTCAATGCTTCGCTATTGCTTATTTATTTATTTTTTTTAACAGCCCACACTTTACCGCGAACATATTCGAGACGTTGTGTTAAGGTTGCCGTGCACCTTCAGATGTGTCTCGCGTGCAAGCGTGGTAGCGCGTCCTGTTTAAACTATAGATATCTAAACCCCATATCAAATTAAAGCTTATAGGACTGGCTATAAGAATATACCAAAAATTTTGAAAAAAGATGAACTGTCGAGTTTTTCACGACTTCTAAATGCAAGCGCCCGAATCACCTTTTAAGAGCTACAAGTCAAAGGGAATTTGTTCGATTGCTCTCAAATTTTGACAGTAGCTAGTTTTACATATAAACAACAAAAACATGTCTCCAAATTTTTTATTTCTAAACACTTTTTTTTCAAGAGCGATTTTTGTAAGATCACTCCACATTTTTTTAATCATATTTAAACAATGTTCTGTAACTTTTTACCTAAATTGAAAATGCAAATCGCAGACACATTTATTTTTAGTGCTTTGGCCCCGGAAACGGAGGAACACATTAAATAAGCGAAAAACAAAATTCGCTTTGACATGTAACGTTCAAAAGGTGATTCGGGCGTTCGCGTTTAGAAGTCGTGAAAAATTCGACAATTCATCTTTTTTCAAAATTTTTGGTATAGTCTGATAGCCAGTCCTATAAGCTTTAATTTGATATGGGGTTTAAATATCTACAGTTTAAACCAAACGCGCTACATCGCTTCACGCGAGACACACTTGAAGGTGCACGGTAACCTTAAGCTTTATTTCAAAATCGGTTATTAATCACAATTTGAACTATAGGCGCCATTCTAAAAGCACTACGTGAGCCTGTGAGATTCAATCTTGAATCTAAGTTTTCCTTCTGATAACTATGGATTTGAAATTGGTGAATCAAATATACTGAGACCA